TGTAGACATTGTGCTCCTGGATATGGGTAGTATACACGAGCTGCACCTAAGACATGTAAGCGACAGAGAAGAGCAGAGAATGAGTGTCTGTTAGGAGAATGTTGGCACTCATCTACACCCAGAATTAGGGGATGTTTTTAGCTTCTAAACGGGACTGGTAACTAGCGTATCTCTGAGATCTTTCACAAGGGAGAGGAAAAACAGCCATCCCACAGCAAAAGGCCACGTTCTAAGCAAATAATAATGTCCCTCTCCCTGCCCCCAAAGCACTGAAATCGAGAAGTTGATCGTACTCACATAGGAACCACAAAACAAACAAAATGAATCAGAACAAAGCTCTTTAACTAGACAGGATGGTGTCTAGGGGAAGACTATAACACAACTAAATTTAACATACAAAAACAATAATAATAATGTGTGTCTCTAAACGGTAGTTGCCTAGCAACTCACTCATTTATTGAACAAATATTTATTGAATACCTGTCATGTGCCAGGGCCAGGGATGCAGCAGTCAAAAAACAAAACTAAACGAACAAACAAAAATTGTCTACCCTGACCTTACATTATGGTGGTGAGAAACAGGTAATAAAAACATTAATAAGAAAAAGAATAAATCCATTAATATGTAAAACTCATCAGGAGGTGGGAGATGAGAAATGGGGGAGAGATGGCAATTAAAAATATATTGATCAGGGAAGGACTCACTGAGAAGGGGACACTTGAGTGAGGATTCATAGAAGGTAAGGGAAGTAAACAGATATCAGGGGGAACATGGTTCAGGGGGCCAGCACCCTGGAGCATCTGTGGAACAGAAAAGAGGCTGGGGTGGCCTGCACAGTGAACTGGTGAGACAGGGATGGGAGTAAAAGAGGCCAGATCAAGCAGGTAGGGTGACCATATAATTTATTGTTCAAACTGGGATGTTCTTGAAAGTGAACGAGGGGAAGGTACCAAAAATAATTAATACTCTATAATTTTTAAAATATATATTTATTGACCAAAAGCTTGGTTTTATTGTATTGATGGACCTACAAAATAATTGTTGAAAACTTATTTTCAAAATAAAATTTTCTAGAATATTTTAAAATGACACATAGCTAAAAACATTAATTTCTTTTAAGATTTATTTATTTACTTGAGAAAGAAAGTGCACGCATGCAGGGGAGGGGCAGAGGGAGAAAGAGAGAGAATCTCAAGCAGACTCCCCACTGAGTGCAGAGTCTGACTTGAGGCTTGATCTCATGATCCTGAGATCATGACCTGAGCCAAAATCAAGAGTCAGATGCTTAACCAACTGAGCTACCCAGTCGCCCCAAACATTAACTAAAAAAAAAAAAACCAACAAAAATACTTTTATATTATTTGAATATTTTTAAACAGCACAGTAAATAATTACTCTTGATATAGATTCATATCCCTTAATTGGTTACCTAGCCATTGTTGCCTCTAACATTGTGATGTGGAAATTTTTCTGAAAGATGTCTTTTTTTAATCTGATCTTATTATTTTCATATTTTTAATAAAATTGCAAACTTCCGCAGAGCTGATTTTATAATTAATATATTTTGAAGTTGTTGACACTTTTAATTGATGCTTCTCTATAAACCATAATTTTTTCAATTAAGCAAAGGCTCCCACTCAGCTGCTGTTGATCCTCTAAATTCAGGGCATATTCTGCTAAATGGAGAATATCCTCAATTGTTTCCCATATTAAAATGTATAAATATTTCTGCCCCAATATTTTCACAGGTGCTGTATTTCTGCCTCCATCCGGAGTACCTTTCTTTAGTAATGTTTTTACAAGATGAGCTCTTAAGTTGTCTCTATTCAAGATTCTTTTTAACATGTTGCCAAATGTAGATACTGCAAAATCATAGGCCTTCACAATTCCATCCCATTCTGGTGGAGAATATAAATTTATCCAATTAAAATTAGAAACTCCACCAAAGGCAAGATTTTTCCAAAGCACGATTTTCAAATTAGGTAATTAAACCATTTGAGCTCTCATCTTTTAACTTGTTCAATTCCTCCCCAGCTTTTGTCAAGAGACATTTGAGCCCTTTCCTTTTTGCAAGCTTTGTTTTACATAATTGCAACTTGCTAAAAGCTTCAAAAGCTGAATTTCCATGCTACATTCACTGAATAATTTGATTAAATATTTCTGACTGATCTTGCACATAATGTAACCTATATTTAAGTTGCTTTACAAAGCATTTTTTCAAAGGCTCAGGCATTTCTAAAACCTGATGACAGGCAACACAGAAAAGCATATGCAACCATACTGAAATGTTTCTGTATTCAACATCAGCTTCTGTCACAAGAGCTTTGTAGATGAGTTATACATGTACTGTGCTTATGTGTAAATATATATTTGTAAATTTTGACATTTGCAGTTTCTAGTTTGATTGATGGAATCCTGCAGCTTCTTTGGATGCAGTCATGAACTTTGTGTACATCACAACCAATTCTAGGCACGTTTCTGCTTCATAGGTTTTTAAGTCTGTAAAGAACATTTTTTTTATCATAAATCTGTGCTCCACCAAAATTTATATTCATATTACCACCAAAAAAAAAACCACCCACTTTTTCTTCAATGTTGAACTTCTCAACTAAATTTACAATAGCATTAACAATATCGGATGTTTCAATTCTTTTTGACAGAAGAATGAATTTCCAAGTACTTTACTTCGATCCTTTGGATTGGATAAAAAAACGAAAGCTTTTGGAATTAACAAATGTCCTGACTGAGGTGGCACTGATATAAAGCTGACATTATTTGGTGGTTTACAAAGGGCATCAACTCAATCATCACGTTTACACTTTAGTTACAAGCACAAGATAACTTGAAACTGACAATGAGCAAAACCAATTTAGAGGCGTCACTTGACCCAAATGGAAAGGTGTGCTTCGCCATGACATGTAGACACACCTCCTGCAGTTGTACATGTTAAATCATTGGGCACACTCTTCTTAAACTATTAACTTCTGAAGTAGAGGCTGATGCTTCTTCCCCATACCTGTGTTTTCCTGTCTTCCAAGGGGGCAGTAATCTACTTGCCTCCAGGGTGGCCAGGAAATGTTGGCAAATATTTGGGGCAAATTACACATCCCCCATCAATTTCTTGAGAAAATTAAACATGTAATTTTGGATTTGGTTTTGGTTTGAGCCAAATGCTGCTCAAAGCATCGAATGCAAAAATAAAAACATTGCCAAATAATGAAATAAATAGCTACAGCTTTACATATACCATTAAGGCCAAAACTGCTTTACCGAGAACTTTTAGATTATGCTACACTCAATGGCAAGAATGCTTGGTCTCTATTTCCTAAACATAATTTGTATGACATTAAGCCAAAGTTTCCCATGTTTTTTTCTGATCCTGAGGAGGCTCTATGTACCTCATAAGCACGAGTGGTGGTATACCAAGTGGCCATCTGGGGGAAAAGCCTCGAAAGTTTTCCTGCCACCACCTAACACCAGAGGAGTTGGTTGTTCCTGACTGATTGTGCTTAAGCTCTTAGCTTTAACAATCAGCACTCTGCATATTATCCCTGAAAGGGTGCTTACCGGTTAGGATTTGTCTGAACAGGATCAGGGAAAGAAGAGATGAGTTATCATTAGCCATCTTTGGATTTAGCCATAATAAAGTTAGAATTCTGTTCACTGAATATATTTCACATGCTACTAGACGAGACGTTGGAAGAAGCCAGAAGAACCAAATGGAGGTCTATCAACCCAACCTGGTTTACGTTAGTGGAAATGCTAACAAGAAAACTTCATAAAATATGGAAAATCTATGGTAAATGGCAAAGCCAATAACAGAATGTTGAGAAAAGAAGCAAAAACCCAGGGCTTTTCCAAGTGAACAAGGACATTCAGTCACGCCACTAAGGTCAGTGTAAAGACCATGGCTTTTACTTCAATTGGAGATGGAAATTCACAGTGGGATTCTGAGTAGAGGAATGATGAGATCTGATTTAAGTTTTACGGGATCACTTTGGCTGCTACTCTGAAAATAAAATGCAGGGGGCAAGTATAGCAAACCAGCTAAGAGCCTGTGGCTGTGATCTTGCCTTGAGGAGAAAAGACAATAGCATCCTAGGAGAGAAATAAATGTGCATCCTTAAAACTATATATATGAAAAAAAAAACAAAACTGTATATATGTAGCTGAAGGGAAGAACAGTTAAAGGGGGAAAGAAACACAGGCTCAAATTTTAGGGCCATGCAACCATGAGTTCATACCAAGGGCGCAAGGATGAATCAGAATACTGTTCAAAACACTGCATATGAAGAGTATCTACTTAATTCCTCTTAAACTAATGCCATTTTCATCAAGCAACTTCCTCATTATAAAGTAGATTCATGTAGACTTACCAACAGGAAGGGAATATGCGAATCAGCAAATACTGTTCTCCGTTGTACTTGATGGTTTTGACTCTAACCAGAAATTAATAAATTGGATTTCTGGGTTTTTCTTATATACCATCTCTTATGAGTATAGCTTGTTTGTGTCGGTTCCCTAGAGTGCCATCACCCGTAGGTGTACTACTAATTGGGTTTCCTAATAATTCAACAGAAAATAAGACCTGGAAAGTTGTGACTTTAAAAAGTCACCCTGAAAAGACTTGTCTGAGCTGCCACTCGGCCTTGCCCAGGTGACCCCCAGTCTTGGTGAGTGCCATTCCAGTCAAACTGCAACATGCAGCTCTGATGCCCAGACAGTCCTACCAGAAGAGTCTGAGTAAAATAGGGAATACTGTGTTACCATGCCCTCATTAGAAAAAATTCAGTTCTCAAAGGCTTATTCTTCTATGATGATTTTCTCAATTCTCATCCTTTCCAAAAATAGTCACCTTCAAGTTTTTCATAAGGGATTTTTCTTTCTCTTTCCTGGATACACGATTCTCCCTTCATATCATTTTATGTGAGATACAATTAATTTTCAGAAAGGCACTCAAACATGTATATTCAAGGTACTGCAATAAATGAAAAGTTACCGGCAAGGGACTTGTATCATTCTGAACAGAAGGGGTCTCTGAAGTCTTAGCAAGGTTACTCTCCTTTCTGGAGCGCTGATCCAGGGAAAGAGGAGCTGGGTTGGAGGATTCATCACTGTCTTGGAGGGTGGAGCGCTCCAGTTCCTCCAATAAGGCATCTGTATCATAAGATATGAGAGAATCATAATACAGAACATGGGATGATTCCTCTTCTGGGATGATTTCCTCCTTAAATATCGCTCCTGTGCCTCCATTCACCTCCTTCTTCTCTTGGGTTAAGGCTATCTTCAAATATCTTCCCTTACTCTTTATTTTACTTCAAGAATGTGGTCTATTCTCCCAGAGGATGTTTAATGCCTCCACATACTGTGACCTATTTCCTATGGTTGCATCCAATTTCACAGCATCACTCAAGCATTTGATTTCTTATATTGCAGGGTATTAATTTTTATCATTCATGAAGGGTGGGTTGTCCACAAAGATCCCCAATTAGAAAAAAAGTAAATCCTATATATTTTTCCTATCAGAAAAGTGTAAGTAATCACATTTTTTTCTAAATGTACCAAGACAGTAATGCTTCATTTTATTTTTTTATTTTATTGTTATGTTAATCACCATATTACATCATTAGTTTTTTTTTAAATTTTTTATTGTTATGTTAATCACCATATATTACATAATTTGTTTTGGTGTAGTGTTCCATGATTCATTGTTTGCATATAACACCCAGTGCTCCATTCAATACGTGCCCTCCTTAATACCCACCACCAGGCTAACCCATTCCCCCACCCCCGTCCCCTCTAGAACCCTCAGTTTGTTTCTCAGAGTCCATAGTCTCTCATGGTTCACCTCCCCCTCCGATTCCCCCCTTCATTTTTCCCTTCCTGCTATATTCTTCTTTTTTTTTTTAACATATAATGTATTATTTGTTTCAGAGGTACAGGTCTGTGATTCAACAGTCTTGCACAATTCACAGTGCTCACCATAGCACATACCCTCCCCAACGTCTATCACCCAGCCACCCCATCCCTCCCACCCCCCACTACCGCTGGAGTGGTGGGGAGTAATGCTTATTCTTAACCTGATTATTTTTTTCTTATATCCCAAGCACGTAACAAAATTTTCAAAACAAAGTAGAAGTGTTCTGTCTTTTAGGGCATATAGGGTAAAAAAAAGGGGGGGGGGGATCAAGGAGAAAATAGATATTGTGAAATCAAGCAAGAAGATGTTGCAATCCAAATCTTGAGATTTGTTTCTCCTGTAGTTTTCTTGGAAAAAACCAATGCACTTTACAAGTATCACACTACCACTTTTCTGTTATGATGAAATTAATAATAATAAAAATTTACACATTACAGGCACTATGCTTAGGAATTTATATATTTAATTTAGTCACCCTAATGCTTTAAGGCAAGTGATATTATTGTCCTTATCTTGTAGATCAAGAAAGAGACTGGGGCGCCTGAGTGGCTCAATTGGCTAAGCATCCAACTCTTGATTTCGGCTCAGATCAGGATTTCGTTGTGGGATTGAGCCCCGCGGAGCCTGCTTAAGATTCTCTCTCTCCCTCTTCCTCTGCCCCTACCTCCCTCCTCCCTCTAAAAAAAAAAGAAAAGAAAAGAAGAAAGAAAAAAAGTAGCATCACTGCTACTAATGCAGATCCTATCTGATCCTGGGCTATCTGATCCCAGCCCCTGCACTAACTTCATGTCAAAAATTCCGGTCCCCATCTTCATGTGGATTCTCAGGATCATCTTGGCATGATATGCTCTTCTCTGAAGCCACTTCCTCATCTACATAATGAAGCAATTCTATTACAAATTTTTTCAAATTGTGGGTTGAGACCCATTAGTGGATCTCTAATTGGATTTTTTACCACAGGTCATGATTTTTAAGTTTGCAAAACAGTGGATTCTATTATTTGACATTATTTGATTTCTGCAGATGAAGGGCTATAGGGAAATATTCACCAATGAACATGACATTATCTGATATTGCTTTAAAATAATCCAGGAGTGTAAGGAATGGGTGGGTGTATTAATGAAATAAGATTGGTCAAGAGTTGATGACTGTTTAAGCTGGTTGATGGGTATACTAGACTTTATTAAACTATTTTCTTTACTTTTGTATATTTTAAAATTCCTCATAATAAAAGGTTTTTAAAAAGAGAGAGAAAACTAATGTAGAAAGAGAAAGAAAAACTTGTTTTCTCATAACTTTATTAGCCAGATTGAATGCCAAACTTCTGGGTTCCCAATTTTTGTTCTGTACCCCTCTATTAAGATATAGCCCTTTTCTATTTTCTAAGCTTTGCTCCAATCAGAAATCATGGATCTTCTTGTATTCAAAATAAAAAGACATTTACAGTAAAGATTAGGGGAGAGGGGAGACCCTCTGTAAGAGAAGCAAACCATATCTCTAAGAGGAGAAGGTTACCCTTAGACGCACCAGTGAACCAAAGTTTAGTGAAACTCTCCCCTCTGAGTCATGAGTTAACAGGCTTTTCTCTTCCTGTTTCCTAGGAGTGCACATAACACCAACACTCAAGATTATCTTGCCTTCTGCCAAATTCCGTAATTTGCAGATGACTAATTTCAGTATGACAAATGTGGGATTATAAGGGGTGGAGGGAAATATTATACGGAAAACTCTGTAGTCCTTCCCTATAGCCCTTCATCTGCAGAAATCCGATAATGTCAACAGTAACATGAAAGGAATAAAGTGAGGTCTCTTGGGGGATCTCACTGGATTGGAATGATTTCATTCAGAGCTAGAGTCTGCTCCTGGTTCTCCTTTATCTAGCATCCCCAAGTAATGAAGGTTTAGGTAAAATCTGCTGGGTGGAAACAAACCATCAACGTTGGAGGAAGTACTACAAAAAGGAAATATCCGCCTGCCTTTGCTGACATGTCTTGCACCCTATTTCTCTGCAGCAGGGAAGAAAGACCCACCCTAAGTCTTTTGGGTAGTTACTGAGATGCTGACAATCTGAAGAAACAGCTGAGGTTTAGCCACCCAGATAGATTATATGAATGTTACCTTCCAGGAGGCTTGGTACTTTCTACATTTCTGCACCATATTTCTCTACCATTCATCCTGCTCAAGTAGTGCAAAACTGTGCAAATCTAATTTTTATTTTTTTACTTATCTGGGTTGTTCTATTGTTTGGAACTCCTGAGCCAATGCACTGCTAAAATAGGAGATTGCCTTGTAGCTTAATCAGTTTTGGTGTCAGGGGCACCTGAGAGTGATATTGAACACATTTATTTTTTTTCTTAGTTATCTCATTGGAAAAAAAAAGTGGACAATACTTATTTCAGAGAGTTGCTTCAGACACTAACATGATTAATATATGTAAAAATGTCAAGTTTTAGTTTAAGTCACTAAATACGTATTACTTCCCTTTTGAATTACCTGCATGAAAGCCATTAGGTATTGCTAAAATAAGAAAGAAGGGCTAGATTCTAGTGCGCTGGACTTTGAACTCAGGCAGAAATGTGAACTTCCCCAATTCTCACACAGAGTTAAGAATCTGGACTCTACTCCAAGTCCAAAACACATTCTACCCCAAGCATCAAAATAGACTTTGCCTCCAAAACAGTTCAATATTTATTAAATAACACTTTTCCCTCTTCATTAACATCTCTTCCCTCCTGTAATTTGCCTATCTTCCTTTCTCTGCTCCTCCAGCCCTCAAATCACACTTTTGACATACCCCAAACATACAAAAACCCAGAACATTGTGGAATTAATACAGCTTGGAAATTGAGTAAAAGGTTAGTGACTCAGTATTAGTAAGGATGCCAGCAACAAAAGTCAGCAAAGGATAAGGAATGAATCCCAAGAATGACAAACCTTCCATTACTCCAAAGATTGGAAATCAGGGATCTGTCTGAGCAATGTGGCCAATTGTTTCACTGCTGGTTTTAATTGTTTGAAATGGAAAGAGTATCATATTTGCAGGCCACAGTAATCTGTTCCTTCAGAATTCCTCTGAATAAAAAGCTTAGCAACAGAATCACTGGAGTTTTAGCACTAATTCTCCATGATTTAATACTAAACCATGGAACAAATGAAACTACCCTGGCCTTTGTCCAACGCTTACAGATGTCTCATTCTTGTTCTTCTATTCCATTTCTTCTTCTTATAACACCGCCTTTGTCCCTCTCCCTTCTTTTTTTTTTTTTCTTCCTAAATCACAAATCTGCAGGTGCCAACTGTGTGACCACCCTATGACCTGCAACAGCCCCCAAGAAGCAAATACTCATAATAAAATGACAATCTCAATCACAATTCGGTCCAAACGTATTTGTGCATAGTTTACCCTGGTGAGCACCACACTCTCAGCCTATTTGTGCCACTGAAAAGAGTGAACCTGTAGTTCCCCAAAACAATCATAGTTCCTCATGCTTCACTCTTGGTTGGGCTGAGGTCATGAGAGAAGTGGAAACAAAATCTTCCAGCACCACCCTCCCTCTGGCTAGAAGTACACCCCACCACAGAGATGGCAGCCAAGTCTTCATTCCCTCAGTTTCTCCTCCAAGAAGGTCCTCACTCACCCAACTCTTCCATTGTCACACACCCAAGATGCTCTGGTCCCACAGGTTGTGAGGAACTGCTTTGGCATGTGCTGAAGAAGAGGACCGCAAAGGAACTGAATGAGACAGCGTGAAGCAGCCTCTATAACCCTTTTTGGTTCCTGTATTTGCTTAGCACTTCCTTTCTTTTGATTTGGTGAGTTTCTTTTTTTTTTTTCTTTCTTTCTTTCTTTTTTTCTTTCTTTCTTTCATTTCGATGTTAGTTTTGAAAATGGGACATAGAAAGGTGGGTAGTGGGATTTGAATTCTGTTATTCTGTTAGTGCATTGGTGAGGGTGAGAAAGATTCAAAATTAACTTTAAAAAATTGGGCACCTACTATGCACCAGGATTCATCTTGAATTCATGGGATGGCAGATTTGCACTTGTGTTTTTTCCCAGTGTGGGTATCCCACCGTGACTGTGCATCAGAAAACCTGTATGTGTGTGAATGTGTGTATGTGTGTGTGTGCGTGTGTGTGTAAAGCTGATGACCATGGAAGTGGTTGCCTTCATAAAATTTCCATCAGAGTTAACCAGCACCCAATTCATTCTGCTGTCTCTCTTTACTTAATGATCCAG